TTTCTTCTTCGACAGCTGTAAAGCTAGAAGTTTCATCGTTAATCTATTGGACCTTTCTATTCTAGACGGAAGCCGAAGACACAGCATCGACTGCTCCAGATTCGAAAGAAGATTCCAATGCAACTTCGGCTGTCGAAGAAGAAAGTGATGGAACTACGAAAAAAGGCGGACGCCCTCCGTTCAAGTTCAACATGGCTGGTTCGTAACTTTTTACAAAAAGTTTTCCTTTAATTAGTACAGTCAGTATGTATAGTCAATATCCATGATAAGATAATCTATCCAGGCCAGGGCACATCGTAGTTGGGGACGTGCCGTGGCCTGGATTGATTATTTCAGGGGAGGGGGGGGGGACATATTTGGCCTGAGAAACTTTCTTGATAGTTGATTCTTCCTCTTTCCGGGACACATGTCTAGGTCGACAAGGACGAGGGGCGTGTCAGGCAGGATGAGTCTAGGCGCGGTGCCGGGCCCGTTCTCCACCAGTTGTTGAAGTGAGCAAGTGACAAGAGTGTATCATATCATTCGTTTCACTCGTTACCAAATGTTGTCTCATGCCCATGTTTTTCTATAATGAAAAAATCAAAAGTGGTTTGGTGACGACTTTACCGACACCCGCGCTTGACGGCCGTTTGCGGTGGAAGATAGGAGAAAGTAGAGGAGGGGGTGATCAGGAGAAATGGGGAAGAGTTGAGAAGAGAAGGAAGTTTAGGGGGGAGGGGAGGGTAGCGCTTTTTCCAAACTTTCTGCCAGCGGCGTAAAGTGCCCTGATCCAAGCAATTATTCGACGTTTCAGATGGTGGATTCACCGAGTTGCATACGTTATGGGTGAATGAGGAAAAGGCCGCTGTTCCTGGTAACGAATATGAGATTTGGCATCGCAGGCATGACTACTGGCTCCTTGCCGGCATCGTGCAGTACGTTTTAGTATCAACATTTTTCACAACACTTCACGGCGCTCCATTATTGGCTCCTTCAGGTATGGTTACGGGCGGTATCAAGACATTCAATTGGATCCCCGTTTTGCCATAATCAATGAGCCATTCCGACAGGAACAAGGAAAAGGGAATTTCCTAGAAATCAAAAACAAGTTTTTGCAAAGACGTTACAAGGTACATTCTAAAATCCGTCAGCTCCTGTTTTGTGATTACCTCGTTCCTTTCCAGTTGCTTGAGCAAGCACTAGTGATTGAAGAGCAACTCCGGCGTGCCGCCTACATGAACCTGCAAAATAGCACAACTGATGGCACTGCACAATTAGCTCAAAGATTCGCTGATATAGAAAACGTGGCCGATTCGCATGCGAACGTCGCTAAGGATTCTGCCGCTGGTAATCGAAATGCGAATGCTGTCCTCCATAAAGGTGAGTTAAGCGTGCATAGAACGTGAAGACCGTGAACCGCGACAATGCTTCAGGTATTTGTTATGCCGTTCAAAAATTAAGGGTGCAATTTCAGTATTGAATCAACTGGAGGAACTGCTGTCGGATATGAAGGCAGATGTTTCTCGTCTCCTGCTAAACTCTGTCGAGCAAAACGTTCCGACTGTTTAAACACACCGACTGGCTATGAGCTCGCCGCGACAGTACGGTTATGAATAACTTATTTCGGAAAGAGGTGATTACCTACCCTTCAAAGCACGGGTCTAAACCAAGAGCTAAAAATCGTGTAATATATCCTCTGGATGCGCTTCACTAGAAAATATTCCTATTTTTGCTGCCCACCCTACGCGTCCTCACCTATGGAAATCGCATCTGTTTGGCGAAAAGCCCGGACAATTCCGCGGCAAGGGGATATTTTGCATTGCACTTTTGCTACTTCCCGACGTGTCGTCCCATCTAGAGAGCCGGGTATGTGGCAAGAGAATCGTAAGTCGCCGCGCCAGTGAGCGTCTTGTGCGACGTCGCCTGCTAATGACGACGATAGTGGTATTGATCAAGAATAGACGGTATATGACCAAAAATAGACACAAGTGTCTGAACATGTCCTTGTCTACTGAAATATCGATGCTCCAATCGAAGGGTAGTTCAAACTAAAGAAAATGTCGCGTCTATTGCCACCCGCGGCGAAGCGGCAACATACGATTCTCTTGCCCGTCTCCCTAGAGAGCCATTCCGTGAGATTACAAGAGAAGAAAGGTTTTACCATGCTGGCTCGACGAACTTGCCTCGGCAGCTGCACAAGAGTTCTGACGGTTTCAACCAAGAATGAGACTTGAAAACTGAACATAGTGAACCAGCCCACACGTGCGAACCGACCCCCATCTAACAGCGCCTCCGGTCGCAGAGGACCGCCTGCGCTGAAAGCGTTGCTACAGAGCGGGACCCTGTTGCGCGGGCCACCAGATAGTCCGCGAACGAGTCATGTGTATTCGTGTGCGAGAGGTAACAGGTAAGGGGAGCCGCTGGTTCCTACCGCATAGACAAACAGGAAATGTAGCTCAAATTCCGAAGAATGAGGGATATACAGGGTTAATGATGCAGAAATTTCTATAATTTCGTTGACGCTTCCACTTCTTATGAGCCCTTTTCCTAGGATTTTGTCACGTCTCACATCGAAAGATCCTGACGCTATTGCTGGTCGATCTCCTCTGCCACCGCCAGGTCCTTTCGTGACCCCCACTCTTGGTCAACAGCTATCTGGTATCCAACCGAAATTCGCAGCCCTTCATCAGCCAGGAAAGGTACAGTCTTGCTCTTTACTGCTAGTTAAACGTTTCATCACTATCTGATTTTTCATCACTATTTCAATAGCTACATATCCTTGATTTCCAGATGTCGAGTATGTTTGCGGATGTTTCCGACCCCTCATCATCCTCCGATGCTCCACCTGAGAAGAAACCTGGTCTGTTTTCATATGACGAAGATAGTATCAGTTGCGTGAATCGAAGTTTTCAGCTATGGAAGAAACTGTGACGTCTAAATCGGCAGTTGATGAAGAAACCCCTATGGATCTCTCTGCACCAGCACAAGCACCAGTGGCAGATAAGCCGGAAGAGAAGGCGGAAAATACACAAGAAGTCACCACTGAGTAACATTTCTGCGTAGTGATACCTGTCATGATGTGCACTCTCACAAATCTTTTCAAACCGGCTGGGCTTGTATTTCTGTGAAAAACAAGCCATACTACTACTATTATTATTTATTTTTTGTTCATTATCAATATTTTAGCATGGTCGTTTCATTGAATTGGATGTTTTTTTACGTACGTGTTTGTATGTTAGTGGAATTTCAGTCTTTTTCCAACCCCGGAACATTTTCTTTGTAGATTACCCGTCTTTTGTAAGTCTGTAGAATGCGAATTGTCAATCAACGTTTTATGGTCATTAAGTTCAAAGTTTCAGATAAAATCTGAGTTCTTTCATATGCAAGGTCTATTAATTTGTTGAATCAATTACTGATAAGAAATACACTTATATAAATCACTAGGCACAAACGTAGCTTGATGAAGAGGAGCAGTTCGCGCAAGGCTCTGCGTTCTTTCCCCTGTGACCGCGTTCAGACTTCGCAATCGCTCGATTGGATCGCGCGACCACGACCAGGAAAACTTCAACCGGAAGCGGTGCGCCGCCGCAACGGAATAATTCGAACTGGGCTGGGTTCTTACAATACCAATTTGAACTGTTCCGGTTTGGCGTTGGACCGCTCCCGGTCGCGATCCAAACGAGCGGTCCGGTCGCACGATCGCGAACTCTGAACTCGGTCTAATTAAGGCTGAGGCTGAGAGTGCAAACAACTAAAAACGTCGAGCAGTGTCTTGCAGGGAAGACGTAATTTTACTGAGCTCAGGCCTTGAATTGGGGAAAGGACAGAGAGGCACTGGCGAGTACAATCTCTTCCTCCTACTACGATAGCGCCGCTAAACTTGCTTTTGAGGGCTATGGCACTGAGAACTCTTGCTCCAGATGGGTTTGTGCTGCTGAGGGGTAAGAGTTAATCTTATTCGGTTACAAG